ACACCAGCCCTGCCCTCCAGCGTATCAACTGGTTTATGCCATTTGGTGGCATCTGCAAACTTGATGTGAGTGCGCTTGATCAGTCTCTCCTCCTCCAGATCACAGACAAAAATGTTGAACAGGAGAGGTCCCAGGACAGATCAGCTTCTGGGTAGAGTGCAACTCCTTAACCACTACCTTCTGATCTCAGCCATCCAGACAGCCTTTCACCCATAGACTTGACCACTAGAATTTTGTTTAAAAAAAACCAATATAATGAAAGAAACCTAAACTGCAATGTTTAAGATCTTTAATATTCTTTGAAACACAAACTGTCCACTCACCTGCCAGATGTGAGGAACAAACAGGTTGCCCACATGAGTTCCAAGTCAAGAGAAATCACTACATCCAGAAACAGGCTCTATGCAGCGTTTAAACCAGACAAACATTTTGGAGAGGAACCATTTTGGAGAAGAACTTTGCCACTATTTAAAACTAGAGTTTATTAGATGCAGTATCTGCTATATTAAAAAAAAAAAAACAACTAATTAACTTCTCCTTGTATAAGTTAGCATATAAATAAGGAAACTGTAATAGCACAGTAGGGGTATTTTAATGTCACATGAAGCTGTATGGCAATTATTCTGTGTACCACGACTAACTCTTGGAAAAATCTTAGGACTATTAATCGGATGATGCTACCGTACATGATAATACCATCAAGATGGTATTTCTCATTCTAAGTATAGTTTTGTGATTTCCTAATATTAAAGGAAGTAGGTATATTGCTATGTAGGCTGATAATTCAAGTTATTAATGAAAGGAGTTTCCCACCCCACCATGGATCACCAACAGTCAGTAAGACATCAAATAATGATCTAAAATTCCCTACTTCCTACTCAATGCCCCAAGCAAGTGAATAAACTTACAAAACAGAAGAAAGTAAAATAGAAAAGTCTATTTTAAATGTAGCTGAAATTTTAATAATTTGCAAATAGAAAATTTTATTTGGGCAACATCCCAAAAAGCTCTAGCACTTTTTTTTTTCCCCAGAAAGTTTTATATTCTCATTTAAAAAAAGTTGGAAACATGGATGTTTGTGCAAGCTATTTTTTTGGCTACAGTATGATGCTGGCAGAAGTACAGTGCCACTATTGCTTTAAAAGACTCATAACTACATTGTATGTATTCATACCAGAGCAAAACTGGGTATAAAGAACCCCAATAAAGAACATAAATTGGAGATGTTTAGATGGGGTGTATTGTTTGTTGTTTTTTTTTAAATTGGCTTCCTATTTATGCAAAAATAATTAAATTAAGACCTATGAATTACTTTGGTATTATTTTTTCTGTCTTTAAAAAAATGAGAGGTATGGCAGAAATTGCATATACCCATGAAGACAAAAGTTTTTCTCTGTCTCAAATTGCAATAATCCAAAAGTGGGATTAAAAAATAATATTTTCTTCCTTTCAAGGAAAAAATCCATGTCATTTGGACATCCACCAGTGGATGAACAGACAAATGTACGTTCTGGTGGATAATTAATTAAAGCATCCAATCTAATATTAACTGCTCTTAGCCACTTTCTTCTGGCTAAATAACCTAGAAAATGGGATATCTACATTTTATATTTGTAGCACTTCAGCGAGTTGTTTGTTGTACTTCAAATGATATGAGTTTGAATGGATACTAGAAAGTTTTTCAGTCTTGCAATGAATCCACTAGACTGTCTCATCTTATCATCTTAGGAGAGTTAATTCATCTGCAGCCAATTTACTGGTAGAAATTTGCAGCAGCCAAGTGCCCCAAATAGCATCTACTCTCAGCTGTCAATTAAAACATGTTCTCTTTAAAGTCAGAGATCCATGGCTTTAGTATTCCCTGATGCCAGCACAAGGTTGCTAGGGTGCTACGTAAGTAGGTGTGCATGATACTTTGAGAAAAGGCGCATAACGCAGAGAATTACCGGAAAACTAACCTAGTAAGTCCATCCAGAGTCATAAGCAAAGCGACTATCATCAGTGGTACAGTCCTGTTTGTTCCCTGTTATATCAGTCCTACACCAGGCTGACATGACTGGACTGACCTAGACAACCACAGCCTCTAAGATCCATCTAGACTCCAGGCCACATGGACCTACCTTCTTCAGTTCCACTGCCCTGAAAACCCCTGCACCACCCCAGCTGCTACAGAGTAAATGTACTCTCTGGCTTGAAGTAAAAGCATGTCCAAATAATTACTTGACAATTTCAGAGATCTTTTAATATGCAAAAGAACTAACCAAAAGCAAAACTCTTCCTTCCTATCACCAAGCCCCATAGATACAGCTAATGGAAACTGCAGTCTGTAGTCCTGCTAGTCATTTTGTTCTGAGTTGCACATCTCAAACTGCACTCATGAATAAACCCTACTAATTCACAGATGAACAGATTCAAACGTAAGGTGATGCTGAAAACTAGCTGTACAGGGTCTGCCATACTTCCTGTGACTCAATACACTGTCACAGACTTTCTGGCAATGGTCAAATCTTCATCAATGAAGAAAAACACCCCATATTTAAGACTATTTTTTAGATTTTAAAAAGCTCCAAAAGTTTAATGAAAGAAGCAACTACTTCTGAAGGAAAACACAGACAGTAGGAGAACATTTTCAAAGCTTGTGATTCATCATAATTCAGTAAAAGTACACTAAAATTGATACATAGAATCGTAGAATATCTTGAGTTGGAAGGGATCCATAAGCATCCTTGAGTCCAATTCCCTGCTCCTTGCAGGAGCATAACTGTTCATAACTTTACATAACTGCAACAGATTTCGGCTTGCTTTTAAATAATCTTAAACTTTTAATTATGAAAATAAATAAGAACAATCAATGCAGCGTTAAGAAACTGTGCAGAGCAAGTAGATATGAAAGCTGTTGTACAAGATATCTGCTGAATCTCTTCTGACCCAAGGCTTCAGATTTCAATTTTTGGCAGTGGATTCCAACAAGTCTTTTGCTTCATTGATTTTTGTTGCTAAGTAAGGTGATCCACCTGAGAAGAAAAAGGGGAAAGGAATACCATTTACACATCAGTATTAAGTACCAAACTACTTCACTTGCAGCATCCCCTTATTACTCACTTTTATTAGCTCTTCATTCCTAAATACATCCTTTTCATACAACTGATTAAAAAAATGACATTGATATGAAGTAAACTAATTGATAAGGAAACATGAGAAATGTAATCAAAACTGAAGTTACTGAAGAATAACGCTGAAAATTTGTCTCCGAGTGAAGACTGAAATCACTTTACATCGGTGCAAATTAGACTTGTAGTGCAACGTTCCTGCAAAAGTATGCAAGGTCAGCTGTCTTGAACATTCATGCAAAGCTAATAGCTCTTATTTCCACCCACTCCAAAAACTAAGAGGTGAAATTTTATAAATAATTTTGACAAAGAATCATTAAGCGTGTGTACATGCTCGCACACACACCCCAAGCCTCTCTTGTGCTAGATGCCTGGAATTACCAGCCAGAAACCATAACATTAAAGCTATTTAAACATGGTACGCCTTCTAACTTCTAGTCCCGAACACTGTCATTGCTTTACGCTCCATCTAACAATCTGATTACAGTTCAGCAGTCTTTTTGTGTTTGTTTTTTTTACTCTCCCCTTGAGTGCCAACCATCTGCCTACAGTCACCAAAAACAACATTACAAGGTCTGTACCAGTAACTTACCATTCACTATAATACACCTATATTTTTTACATGAAAATACGATTCCAGCAGTGCTGTACACTGAATAACCTTTTCCAAGGCATCTGTTCAATCATAATTTTTCATTCATCATTTCATTCATTCTATTCTATTCAATTCGTAAGAAAAGATAATGATAGAAGAAACATGCAGAACTAGTTGTGGACACGTGGCAAGGATTGCTTAAAGACTTCTTTAGGACATTCCTGCGGAATCTAAAACATTATAAAGTCATTTCATAGTGTAATAGAACAACTGGGAAAAGTAATGGAGTTCTCTTGTTCATGTTTCAGTTTTGTTTGAATGTAGCCCTAATAGGTAAGACACACCGGAGGAAGGTGAGGCAGGGCAGGGAAAGGGTAGAGAACTGTCTACCAAAAAATGTATTTTTTTTTCTTTTTTTTGAACCAATTGGCTTTTTAGCCAGGAAGAGGAATTACTACATTGAATAGTGCTTCTTTCAAAGAGCAGACTAGAGGAAACGAGTAGAAACAAACAGTAAAGACTAAAAACTGCAATAAACAATGTATTCCAAGTAATTTTTAAATGTGCGTTGATCTTCTACATGTCTAGAGTGCAGGATCTTAAAGTAAATTCAAATCTGCTGAAGTGTTTTCACTACATTTACATCTGTAAGTGCCATATTAATTTTTTAGCCCTCCAACGAGAGAAAATTCAATCTCATGATCGCCCAAGTGTTTGTTTATAATTAGGGCAAGTCCAAGAGGCTTCTCTCTTTCTCTTTTTCTGTGAGCAAATATACTTTCATCAAATTAGTAACTGATAAATTAACATGCAATGTATCAATATAAAAACACTTTTACACTGAACTATGTAAAAGTTAATAAGCAACCATTTTAGTAGCACTCAGTGGGGATGTTATTATGCAAACTTGTATATATTTCTTATTTATTTCTTTCTAATAATTCTCTCTTCAACATTTGGGATCTCAGATAACATATGTAACTTCTAAAATCTGTAATTATTACACTTTCTTCTATCAACTCCATCTGGTAAAATATTATTTTAAAATAGCATTCTAATGTTGAACATTATTTTTAAAAGCACATCTGTGCTACCCACAGCCAGAAGAAATCAAGATATATACATAAGCAAACAAGTCTCTCTGTGATGATGCCACATGTTCAAGATCACTCCAGGCACTAGTTCTGCAGCTGAAGACATTACACAAGATTTTTTTTCTACAGCCATGCCAGAAGAGCTGCAGGGGCAGCACAGAGGCACAAATCCCTTCAACTGTATTCCTACTGAGAAAATGCTCCATCTTAATAGCACACAGGAGGGCTTACTACATCCATCCAAACCTACACTGTGCCCTGCTGCAGGTGCATTACAGCTGTAAGAGTAGATCGTCAAAACGTACAATCTTCGTGAAGGGAACTGCCTCTTCAGGTCTACTCAACATCCACATGGAGATTCACCGTTCTGGCTCACATCTCTAAGCACTGCTACAATAGACTTAGAAGTTCATTATCAAAAAGTTTTGACCTGATCAGCACTCTAGTGGTTGAGAGGCCGCTGACCATCATATTAGAAATGCAGAAGAGAATTTCTTTTCTATGTCTGTACAGCTTATACATTATAAAAAGTGTAAAAAATGGAAGTGTGAAGTTTAAAATGGAATAAGCAGGACAACTTTAGAATTAAACTGAGGAGCGAGGACAGCAAAGAAAAGTAACAACTAAACACTTCCCATGGCCAGTGGTCACAGTTACTTTTTCATTTTCTTAAAATGGGGTGCTGGCAAGGAGCCCTGTAATTCTGTCAAAAAGATATAAAACCCCTCCGCTTTCCCCTTTTGACTTCTGAAATACAGTGCAACTCTTCACCATCTGTTATTTTAAAGTAGAAACAGCAATGAACATATGGGCTTTCTTTCTCAGCCAGCTGTACTGTAGTTAAAGTTATAATAATAGCGTTTCCATAAGATAAATTTACATAAAAAACCTGGCCAGTAAAGCAACACTGCCCAGCTTTACATTTATTCCAAGTGAATTCCAGGAAGTCTGAAATTCATCAATGATGTCCTTAGTGACTGCAAAACATTTCCCCACAGAAAGTTACTTTCATACATGTGACTGGTCCATCTCAGTTCAAAACAGGAATGTCAGTTTAATGTAAAAATTTTATTCAAAAAGAAGAAAAAATTAGATGTAATTTTTTTTTAAAGCGTAGAAGCCTGGTCCCCAACCTCATAGTTAACTGAAGCAGCACAAGTCTAGAAAACAACATTAAAGAAAGACAGGTAAAACTGTGGTTCATAAAGCCTAGTTTATCTGAGAGAAGACACACAGAAGCTCGAGTCTATAAATAAAAAACATACATTCACACTCAGTGTGGTATTTACACAACCAGTAAAGTTGAAGGATTTAATTTAAGCCTCTTCTTTTCCAGCTCTTATTAAGAAGAATAATAGTTATTTACCTTTATCAGGATGATTCAAAATCATGATTCTTCTATGGGCTGTTCTGATTTTGGCCTTGCCAGCAGATGGACTGCAAAAATAAGTTAAAGCGCTTACCATAAATGCCACTGCACTCAGGTTATAAATTAACAGTTTATACTGACTTCAAAAATTGAGATTTTCACCATCTTGTGGACAAAACATAAAACTGCATCTCTGAGGAAGTAACAGTAACAAAGGCGTGTAAGACACAGAGAAGGACATTTTAAAAAAGCCTGTGCATTTGACACGTATAAATATCGTTGGTGGTTGTTTGGTGTTTTTGTTGTTGTTGTTGTTTTTTAAAAAAACACAACACATCTACTCATTTAAAAGAAACAATTTTTGGGGGAAAAAGGAAAGGAAAAAAACCACCAGCTCCAGGGAGTATCTAGCTGGTTATTCTTATCATTAAATGCAGAAAACACATTTTTTTTCCTCCCCCAGAAAATAAGTATTTATATGACCAGTAACAAAACAACAAATATTTAATATTACCACATTTTTTACTACTGTAAATATTTTTATAGCTGCTATAAATAATTCTTCTTTCTGCTGGGGCCTGAAAAAAGACCTGCATTTGTTATTTTTGCAAAGCTGCTCAATGTGTTACATTCAGGGACATGCTGATTTACAAGTGCTACATAATGTTGTCTCCTTCAATGACAGATACATGAAATACGTACTTGGCCTAAATTAAATATGTACCTTACCAGAAAAATAACCACTTAGAGATGCAGTATGCCAACAGAGTAAGGGTATCGTATGCAGAAGGACAGTTTGAATGGTTCAGTTTTTCAGAATTTATTAGCATGCAGAAATGAAGCAGTGTTTTCCACTTCAGGTGACTTCTTAATCAGTGATGATTCAATTAATTAATCTTTTTGTAGATACTATTTGAATGCAAGGTATCAGCCTAACTACATTCTAGAGGTAAACAACCTCTAATTATTATTCTGTCACAGGGAAATTAGGGTATGTTACAAAAATAGTTCATAAAACTGCGTAAGAATACTTCAATGGAACAGAAAGTGACCCAGAAAGTAAGAATTAAACAGAGGGTGAAAGGTCTTCAACTATATAAATACAAAAAAGAAGTTATTCGTTATCAGAGTGATAAAAATAACAATCATCTGTATTTTGATTTGAAAAACTGTTTTTTAATAATAAAAAGGAAAGTTGATATACCACATTTAGAAACTCAGATGGCCAAAGTGTAACTGTGCAGAAGTTGCAGTTGCGTATTATAGAAAATCATGCAGTTCTGCTCCAAGAAGCAACTGTGAAAATGGTGTTTTACATCAAGGTTGCTTAGTTTATGAGATATTGCTTATTCCACAGGTGATGATATTCCACAACGAGATATTGCTTATTCAGGCTAGTCTCTAAAGATTTTTAATAACTACCAAAAAAAGCCCCATTCATGCCAAAAATCACATTCTTCTTGAACTGGTACATCCTCACAATCTGAGTCACACCAAGTTCATGCTACCTTCTAACATCAACAACTATCTGAAAAGTCTATCACTTTGGTGGGAACAGTTGATACGCTGGAGGGCAGGGCTGGTGTTCAGGGGGACCTGGAGAGGCTGCAGGAATGGGGTGACAGGAACCCTTCAGGAAATTCAACAAGGGCAGATGCAGAGCCCGGCGCCTGGGAAGGAAGAGCCCCTGGCAGCGCTACAGGCTGGGGACTGTCGGGCTGGGGAGCAGCTCTGCTGAAAGGGACGCGGGCACAGCAAGAACAAGAGCCACCAGCGTGCCCTGGCAGCGGAGAAGGACAACAGCCTCCCGGGCTGTATGGGAGGGAGCATGGTCACTAGGTCAACACAAGCAGCTATTCTTCTCTACCGGGCCAACCACATCTAGCTGCTGCACCCAGTTTTGGGACCCCTGTACAGGAAAGATGTTGGCCAACTGCAGCAGGTCCAGCAAAAGCCACCATGATGGTTGGGGGCTGGAGCACTCACCCTTTGAGGAGAGGCCAAGAAAGCCTGTTCAGCGTGGAGAAGACAGAGCTGCTGGGGGCCCTCACGACAGCCTCCCCAGCATCTACACGGAGGTCATAAAGAACATGGGTCCAGGCTCTCCACAGTCATGCGTGGTGGGAGGTTGAGCGAAAATGGGCACAAATTGAAACGGGAGGCGTGGGCTGGACATAATCTGTTTTTCACCGCAAAGACAGTCCAGCAGTGACACAGATTGCCCAGAGAGGCTCTGCATTCTCCATCTTAGGAGTTTTTTTTTCACTAATGTGTGCATATAAATAAATAAATAAATATAGAAAAAAAATTATATGTTACATTAACATATAATTAAATATTTCCTATGGAAAGAAAAAGTATGCATCTTGTTTCACCGAGGAAATTCTACAATACAGAAATTTTTATTCATTTTTATCTAAAATTTTATCTTATGCAGGCATAAGTCAGAACTTCAGTGTTAGGCATTTGGTAGATGTAAAACATTATACTTAGGACAGCTATATTTTGCTAGCATCTATATTGCCGAACGTTTGGAAAACTCTCCTAACATTTTCACATCCCATGTCACCTCAGATAGTCCTCCATCTCTCCCATGAGCAGTTCCTTCTACAGAGTACATAGTTATTAATATTATTGCTGTGTGTATACTGAACTTCAGTAATCAGTGCTTCATAACAACTAATGCAGAATACTAAAACTTAAAACTAGTCAATATTTCCAATACAGTAGTTTGTAGCTTTAGATACCTTTTACATAGTTTAAATACAAATAATGCACTTGCATGTCTCTACCAAAACCCCTGCAATCTTACAAGATGGTTATTAGAGAATAACATTTGCAATGTGTAATGGGCCGATATATGTGAAATTTAAAAGCTATCACTAAATGCTCACCTTTATCATGGCTTGTATTTCTTATTTATACTGCCCAGGCATACTGAGCACTCAAAATAATGAAGAAAGTCTTTGCCTTGAAATTGAATGTGACTTAGAACTGATGACACAGAGGACAATAATAAGAATAGGGCCTAGACAGATCTAGTTTGTGCATTCGTGCACACCCTTGCATTTTCCACAGCACTTTTAAAACTCGCTTCCCTTTTTTTGGGTGGCATTTTTATATATGTATTTAATACAGTAAGCAGTTAAAACTGGTCTAGAAAAGTGTGTTTAAACAATGTGAAAATCTCCTATAAAGATGATAGTCATGCTTCTACACAATTAAAGGCTCAGTACTTCAAACATTATGAACTTACTCAAATCTGATTAAGTCTTGATACTTGCAAGACTCAGTCCAAACCTAACAAGCAGTGTCACTGTTCCCAGTGCAGACTCAAGCTATTAAAAAGGGACTGATTTCAGATGTGATTAAACTTCAGACATGTACATGAGCAGTGTTCAGGCTAGGCGTTGCCACTGTAAACACACTTTAATGAGCTGCCATGTGCTCCTCCGGAATATCACTGAATTTGCCCTTATAAAGTGAAAATCTTAATACATTATAAAACTTAAAGGTCAAAGGAAATATTTCTGAAGAGCATTCCTGTAATTCTCTTTTTCAGTGTGCAAGCATGAAATATTTCAAATAAATGTAGTGTTTTATTTTAATTTTCTTAAAATGAATGCTAAATCTGCATAACTTCCATTCTGTTCAAAGTAAACACAACCAGCACACTGAACAGGATTTTAAGTTCCAGTTTCCCCAGAAGAAATTATTTCAAATGGTGAATAATTAAAACCATCCTCTTTTTTTTTTTTTTTTTTTTTTAAAACCTTAGAATTTAGAACTGATCTAAACGATAAATAAGGAATCTACTACCTAAGGTCAGATCTGCTCCTGTCATCTGGAAAGCCCTCAAACTCACCACCTGCTTTACAGAAAACACTAAGATGTGTGCTACCATTGGCCATCCAAATGTTTTTGAAAAAAATCCACTGAAAAATCCATTGAATACTCAGCCTGGAAATTATTTCCCATACCTAATTCAAATGACAAGTGTCTCCAAGTATTTGTTTAGAATATGCCACAACTTTTTAAATCCAAACAAATCAGAGTGGAGAAAGAAAATAAACAATATTACTGACTTATGGAAAAATGAGCAAAATGGATTTGTTTTCCTCGTTTATTAATATAATCTACAATATTACTTATTTCAAGGGGTTTTTTGGAGACTAGGCCATGTGATAGCACTAATTAGCACAGTATGCGCTATTCTGATTATTTCTAGAGCACCAGTTCTCCACTGCAATATGTTACCATGCCTTCAAGCCAAAGACAAGTCGCATGTTTTATTAGCATTTTTATTGTTTGCTTTTTAGCTTAAGCAGAATATTAGAATGGTTTATAAGCCATTACAAGTCTCTTAAAAAAAAAAAGTTACAATTTTGGCAAGAGTATTCCACATTCTCACAACATGCATTTTCTTCATTCAATACTTACCAAACAAAAACATATTAATGCAACACACCTACCTGACACCTAAAATAAGACTAGCTTCTCGCCTACTCATTTTCTGTTCAAATCCTCCTTTATAGTACAATGAAAGACTCTAAAAAGAAAAGGGAAAACAAGCAATAATTAGTTTCCTGTACAAGGTGCCAGGACCTAAATTGTATTTATATGACCTCATTCAGAACATTACATTCATCTATAATTTATTTCAAAGTCATGGAATGACTACAAACCAGATAATATGAAAGGACTTCTCCTGAGTGTTAACACATGCAAAAAACAACTTAAAAATAACTATTGGTGTTTTTACAATCTTCTACTGCTAATAAGATATATTAAAATCAAAGTACATACTAGCACAGAATGGTACAGTGTGTGTGTTGGGGAGAGCAGGGGAGGGAAAAGGGGAAACTTGTTTAGAACATCTTTGGTACCACCACAATGGAAAATGGCAAAAGCGACAATACTTTGGCATCCAAGGAATTACGGACAATCACTCTTAAGTCCAGATATTTCTACAATGACCATAGGTAAAAACAACAATAAAAGGATAGGAACAGATAAATACAATATACTGATGAAGAGTTAATATGTTTTTTCACATGAAGGAATGTTACTTCAAGAAAATATATCAAGAGTTCTTGCAAGAAACACTGAAAAATAAACAAAAAGAAACAAACAAAAAAAAAGGCTTAGCATAAAACCAGACCCTCTATTTCAGGAAATCACTGAGCTGGAGAAAACTGGAAAGTAGCAGAGCATACGTGGAAATCCTAACCAAATTTTGCCTTGACATCGTTCCCTACTCACCTATGACTTATGACAATTAGATACAGGATCTGGGGTTAGTTTTTTTAAACTCATTGGCATGTAAGACTTTAGCGACTGCTTTAAGAAAGGGAAAAGAAACCACAAGTGGGAAAAGAACACTAAAAAGAAAGAGATGGAGATTACAGTAAATCATTACAACAATTAATTTTTGTCATAGGGAATGGGCTGAAAGTATATTTGTCAACCATAAATATATTTTAAATGAAAAAAATAAAATTACTGAACTAGCACTGATGGTTAACAGCGATATCCTCAATGTAAATGTTTCTATAAGAAGAATTAGGGACTAGCACATTCTTACACAAATAATAGTCTAAGCTGCACAAGTCACACAGGCAGCAGATGTAGCTCCAAGACAGCCTGACTTTGGGAACTGGCACACAGAAATCATTCAACAAAACTGAATTTATTTCCTCAATGCAAAACCTATCAACTGAGAAAAAATAAGCTTCTTTTGTTGCTATCAAAGGGAAGTCTGGCCTGAGAGCTGAGGTTATTTTTAAGTGTAATTTTAGCCCCAAGTAAAAATGTGCCTGGCCCTTAATAAAACACTTTTCTCACTGAATATATCCATTCATATTCAGTGAGAATTTTGCCTTATATTTACATAAACACTCTCATGTAATTTCAAAAGCATTAAAGTATTTAAAGGGCTGTCTATGACATCTAAGCAAAGCCTTTAATTAAACTGAGGAGCATGGTTCAGAAATACTTCACCTATTGCTGCCATGAAGTCACACACAGCCACAGAAAAGATTTTTTTGGTGTGCTGCTACGATCTGAAACTAATTTTGTCTTCCTCCTTCCACCCCAAACCATACATGAAATAACCACTACCATAACACTACAAGTATCAAAGCTGAAGCAACTGTGGACATGTGATACCCAGAACCAAAGTCTGTTGAATAACCGCTTCTATAGCTACAGGATAACACAAACCAGGTCTGTAAGAGTTCACACCGACATCACAGGTTAGAGCACGTAGCACTACGGGAACACATAGGGCTCCTCCAGTCATCTGAGAGGAAACAATGGTAATGAGTTAAAGGCTACCAGGTAGCACCCTTGAGGAGGCAGAACTGCACGTGAATTTGCAACAATGCCGAACAATTACTACGGCCAGGAGAAAAAAGCACACTTCAATGTCCTCTGAAAGATTTTCCAGAACTTCTCCCAAAGCAGATTAGGTGCAGATGGGTTTCTGAAAAGGTTAATTCTCTGCCCTTCAGTTCTGGCATACAGCTCTAATACAGGAGGACATAGGTTCACTATTCATGTAGAGAAGAGCAGTATTTGCATTATCTACAACAGAGCTCGAGCTCATCTCTGCTCTTGGTAGATTTAATCTAAAATACTATTTAAAATAAGAGACTAGGGAGGGATGGCTACAGGCTTAAACTCAGAAATACTTTTTCACAATTTAAAGCCTACTTCCTTGACACTGTTCTAACCTCGGGAAGTCTTAATTCGGTTCACTTCCAAGAGGAATGAAAAAAGAAATTCTGTCTTTCAGCACATAAGCAAAAACACTTTGTTGAATTGGTCATCAAGAAAAAACATTTTCTTCTCAGAAGTGAAGCACCTAACAGGAATAATAAAGTCTTAAGTTAAGAACTTGATCCTAAGCAGTATTTAAAGCAAAAGGAAATTACACATAAAAGCCATTTTTCCCATTGGTTAGAATAAGGGGAAGAAACACTGAGTCTTCATTTTAGGAAACATCTTGGCAAATTTCTAGTTCCCTAATGAAAAAAACTTTTGCACGCTATTCAAATTAAACCAATTTTTTTCTAGCTGTAAATTCTAAGTAATAGCTGCAATGAAATGAAACAATGTTCAAGATATTTTTCTGTTATGAGAACTTCTCAATGAGCAGGCAGTTCTAGACACTTGATTATTTATTAATTCCAGCTATTGTAAAACAAATTCTGTACTGGAAAAATCATCAAAATGAGTAGTCCATTTCTTCACACTATTTCGGGTGACGGGAGGGGCTCTCATTTAATTTACTTCATTTCATAGAATCATAAAAATCTTTGGGTTGGAAGGAACCTTTAAAGGTCATCTAGTCCAACAACCCTGCAAGGAGCAGGGACATCTTCAACTGGATCAGGTTGCCCAGAGCCCCGTCCAACCTGACCTTGAATGTTGCCAGGGATGGGACATCTACCACCTCTCTGGGCAACCTGTGCCAGTGTTTCACTACCCTCATTGGGAAAAATGTCTTCCTTCTATCTAGTCTAAATCCACCCTCTTTTAGTTTAAAACCATTACCCCTTGTCCTATCACAACAGGCCCTGCTAAAAAGCTTGTCCCCATCTTTCTTATCAGCCCCCTTGAAGTACTGGAAGGCTGCAATAAGGTCTCCCCGGAGCCTTCTCCTCTCCAGGCTCAAGAACCCCAACTCTCTCAGCCTGTCCTCATAGGATCAGAGGGATGGAACACCTCTCATTTTTGTGGCCCTATTCAGGACCCTCTCCAACAGGTCCATGTCTTTCCTGTGCTGAGGGTGCCAGAGCTGGATGCAGGACTCCAGGTGGGGTCTCACCAGAACAGAAGAGAGGGGCAGAATCCCCTCCATCAACCTGCTGGCCACGCTGCTTTGCATGCAGCCCAGGAGACTGCTGCTTTCTGGGCTGCGAGCGCACATTGCCAGCTCCTGTCTAGCTTTTCGTCCACCAGTATCCCCAAGTCCTTCTCAGCAGGGCTGCTCTCAATCCTTTCATCCCGCAGCCTGTACTGGTACTGGGGGTTGCCCTGACCCAGGGACAGGACCCTGCACTTGGCCTTGGTGAACCTCATGAGGTTCACATGGGCCCATTCCTTGAGCTTGTTCTGTCCAGGTCCCTCTGGATGACATCCCATTCCTCAGGTGTGTCAAACGCACCACTTAGCTTAGTGTCATCTGCAAACTTGCTGAGAGTGCAGTCAGTCCCACTTGTCTGTGTAATTGATGAAGATATGAAACAGTACTGGTCCCAGTACAGACCCCTGGGAAACACCACTCCTCACCAATCTCCATTTTGGCATTAAGCCATTGACCACTACCCTCTGGATGCAACCTTCCAACCAAATCCTCATCCACCCAACAGTCCACCTATCAAATCCATCTCTCTCCAACACAGAGAGAAGGTTCTTCTGGGGGACCGTGTCAAAGGCCTTACAGAAGTCCAGATAGACAACATCGGTAGCTCTTCCCTTGTCCACTGATGTGGTCACTCCATCCTAGAAAGCCACTAGGTTGTCAGGCAGGACTCGCCCTTGGTGAAGCCATGCTGGCTGTCTCAAATCACCTCCCTGCCCTCCATGTGCCTTAGCATAGCTTCTAGGAGGATCTGCTCCATGGTCTTCCCATTTTCTTCCATGTTGTTACTCTTTAGCAACCTATGTAAGCAAATTCTGCTTCCTGAACAACTGCTATTAATAGGTTTGTTGGGGGAAACAGCCAGAAAATGACTGGACGTGCTCTGCAAATGCCTATTCACTCTTGCAAATTTTCACAAAAGCAGTCAGCAAAGAAAATTCAATCTATTTGGACCATGACATCTTCAAGATACTTTTCCTGGCATAGCACAGGGAAAGCATAGTCACTGTTTCCATGCCAGGTAAGAGATTCCAAACTCCCTGAGACCATTCGTCACATTACATGAAGTAGTGAATTTTTCTGAAAACTGTATGTGTTGTTCCACCACCAATACAGTCCTCCATTGGTAACAAACACTGGTAGAAAAAAAAAAGTTTGTTATTATAGTTTGGTTTTTGCTATTTTGAAGCTCTGTTACAACAGAAACTAAAATTTGCTAAGATCAACTTTAACTTCCTTAAATTCACTTAGAAAAAAAAATTATAAAATGGACTGTAAATTGCATTATTCTCTTGAAGCTTTATTTTCAATGAAGTATAAGAGAGATGGATGCTACCCTTACCTCTCAATTCAGAACTCTGTGAGTCTGAGCAGCATCGGATCCAATAAGGGAAGCACAGTGCAAAAATCTCTAATGAAGTGCTACAGAAGACACACTTTTCTTCTGGAACACAGAATTTTCAGGATTGTGGGATTCGAGTATTTTGACAGTTCATTTTGCCTAGAGTTGCTGGTTCTATCTTAAATAGCTTCTATCTATATTTCAACCTTCAATATCACTGATTCAACAAAGAAAGGTAATGAATGCTATTGAAATACTTCTTTTTTTTTTAATTTCACATTTTAAGGAAATATTAACATTATAATTGTTAATTAAGGTCTGTCTGAGGAAGAAAAGCCAAATGATTACTTAGTGCTATGCACCTTCTACTGGCAACAGACTTTTGTCACTACACAGAGAAAGAAAACAGTGTCACTGGCATTTGTGACACCAGTAACAAAACTAGGCTCAAAACTAAAAAAATTGTTTCTCTGAAAATGAACATTATGACTTGTCATAGAGGGGAAATTACAATGTTTCCTCCTATGTCTTTCTCCACTGAAAAAAAAGACAGTAGAAAACGTCAGGACTAAATTACAGCAGCATTTACATTTCTTATTTAAGAATATACATTTAACTGCTGTAAGTTAAATGAGAGGTAGAAATTCAGGATAAAACAACACTTTTACTCGCCTTTACTTACAATTTTTAACTAAAAGATGCATGCAGCTATTGACTGTACATATTATTTATTTAGGTAAGTAAATAGAAAGCGTCAAGTACTCAAGATACAGCAAGCAGGCATTTTAAATGATCGCTTCGTAATTGCTGAACTTGACCTTACCCAAGTCATTTATTAGTGAGCAGGAAGAAAGGATAAACAGCATCTGGATTACCTTGTGTGACTGCAACCAACATGAACTATGATTTCTACTATAAACATCGGAGGACGGGGGGGGAAGAACTGCAAATGGGGTGAGGAAGAGTGGGGGCTTACAGAGAGAACAAGTGAGCTTTTAAATAGGCAGCTGCCGAGAAGGGCAACGAAGCTGGTGAGGGGTCTGGAGCACAAGTCTGATGAGGAGTGGCTGAGGGAACTGGGGTTGTTTAGTCTGGAGAAGAGGAGGCTGAGGGGAGACCTTATCACCCTCTACAATTACCTGAAAGGGGGTCGTGGTGAGGTGGGTGTTGGTCTCTTCTCCCAAGTAACTAGCAACAGAACGACAGGGAATGGCCTCAAGTTGTACCAGGGGAGGTTTAGACTAGGTATTAGGAAAAAATTCTTTACTGAGAGTGGTCAAGCATTGGAACAGGCTGCCGAGGCAGGTGGTGGAGTCATCATCACCGGAAGTGTTCAAAAAACATGTGGACATGGCACTTCAGGACATGGTTTAGTGGACATGGTGGTGTTGGGTTGATGGCTGGACTCGATGATCTTAAAGGTCTTTTCCAGCCTTAATGATTCTGTGATTCACAGTCTCTCAAAAAAAGGAGATGATGATGGACAGGGCTTGATTCTAGAAAGCTAGAGCAACCACTGAAAATTATAGCGACCAAGTTAGGTGCCTCCAAACATCATAGGAAACCACATAGTAACACCAAGCCTAGACACTAAATGTCATGAGATGCTTTTTTCAGTAAGAAGAGGTAGAAGTACTAACTGCTTGATTTCCTTTGTCAGTATAGTTGAGAGGGCAGTACGCTGTAAAGAAACATGATAAAATTGCTAATCCACAGATTGTACTCAGCAACTTCAATTTCCCTAAACAAAACAACTAAATAATTTTCTCCCTAAAATAAGTTTGGACAAGAAGCACTTACAGAGGATCCTTGTACCTAATGTTTTCTCTATTGTTTTAAAGAAAAATTATAAATAATTGATTGTTAAGGGGAGAAGAAAAAAAAACAAACTTGTAAAAAATCCAAGAAATTGGTAGCTGAAGAGTAGTAAAGAACAAATAATCTTAGCTAAAAATTATACAAGGGTCTTAATTTTGGACTGTGATTGTAGAAGAAAAACATTATCACTACCCTCACAAATGTAAAGCTGACAAATACATACAGTTAACGGCAAACAGGAAGAGACAGTTTTTGCTGCATTCAGCAGATGTCATCTTACCCTGAAAACTTCTATTTTCAACTTCAGAAATAGAGCAGAAGATCAACATACAATTCTGGGCTGTAAGGCAGGTGAAGGCAGACAAAGGATGCAGCTCCAGGGACTAAGAACACTGAGAATGCAGAAGCTCCTGGGTTGCTTTTTATGGTTGTTCATGAATTCTGCAGGACTCAAAATCACTGTGATAAAAATGAGATAAGCCTGTACTGAACTCAGCTCAGCCAGTATACCAGTATTGAAGGGTACAGTTTTCTAGGAAGAGACACCTCTTTGTGCAATAGCATGCCACATTTCAATGTGTTAAAAAGAGTCACTGCCTGCTTCCTTACATGAACATGTCTGAATTTAGATTCTCTAGCCTCTATCTACAAATGGATAGAGAAGAAATGCTGGAGTAAAACTGCTGGGGAGGGAGGGTGAACACTGAAGCACTCCCTTACTGTGCAGCCACATGTCCTTACTGCTACCTATTTCTAGCAAGCCTGACTGTATCCATATCATGTGAAAGCAATTTAATTCACAGTACCTAAAGCCCCTCTGCTGTTTTGGCAGGCAACTTGAGAATATCTCAAAAAATTACTTTGAAAAGGAAAAAAAAAAAAAAAAAATTGGTGTTGGTCTCACAACAGCAATTCAATAGAGCCACAAAGAGCAAAAACTGATCGAGGAGCACTGTTTCTGGCTGATGCACATCACAATTAAGAACAAGTGTGGACCAACCCCAGCAGGAGAGCCCATCTTTCAAGTCTTTCCCTCTCCAAGAAGCTTGCATTCATCAAGCTTGCACCTTCAGCCCATGAACACAAAGTACAGATGGCAAATGAATTTGGACTCTAGCATCTCTATATAACCTGTAGACAGGCTCTGTGTTGCAACCAGCCTCACATTAATAGCTACAATGCTAACGATCACTTTAAAAAAAAAAACAACAAACCTTTAATATATTTTTCAGGAAATAATGATCTGCAACAACTGCTCCTTCAACACCCTCACCCATCAGCATCAAGAGGGGAACTCCATTCCTTCTACTGTGGATAAATGTCCATAGACTATGAACTCTGAAGGAATACACTGCCACAAGCAGAAATCTACCTCATTGGGAATTACTTTAATCAAACAGGAATGGAACCCATTTATTTATTTACCAGAGGACAGTACAGCCACTGAAGCAAAAAGTAAATGCTCTCGAATATTCCTTGCATGTGGTCCTCTCACAACACTCTACCTCCTGATTTTTTACCTCATTATCATGTTTTTAAATATGTAGGGCAAAACAAAGAACAAAAACTTGGTTAAAAGTTCAAATTAGCTGGGGAAGAAAAAAAAGAGACAACTCATATATGAACAAGAAAACATGCTCCCCCATCTCTATTGCAACCTTTCCTAGAAGTTTATCAATTTGTCTTCTTGATTTTTAACACTGTAGCTGAACGAAAAACGCCTTCTTTCATTTTTAGCTTCTTGAAATGAAACTGTATGTCATCACTTTGTAATTCCTAGGAATTAGCAATTTTCTCACAGCGCACTTCAACAATTTATCATACACTTACTAGCAAAGAGTTCTGAAACATGGAACATCACCAGGAAAATCATAACTATTTATCAAACTCACAAACATCTTTTGATATAGCTTCATCCACAGGGATTTAAAATATACCAGATAATATGCCAAAACATACACAGTAAGGAGCACCCCTATCCTGGAAAAAAACAATAATCTAAGTGGCACTTACCATATTTAACATAAAATGTGTCTTTTCTAAATATCTGAAATATAAAATCATAAATTCATCATAAAGTAACCTCTAAACTTACGGAAGTTGAAATCCTCTTTGCTGTCTCTGTAATTGCCTGCTCCAATGGTTTCCAAAGGTGGAAAGCATAACGACCTGAAAAAGATCAAAATAAATGAAATTACTAGCAACATTTACCAAAAGGAAAAAAAAAAAAGTCTCCAACTTACGTTCATCAGCTGACAGCAGAAAGAATTTTGGTTTATAAAAAAAATAAAAATCCTTCCTTGTTAATCTTTTTGTCTCATTTATTTGTTGTACAGGACCACTGCACTTTACTGCTTTTCAGGATGTTCCCTCAATAACCGGTTTTAGATCCTGCCCAGCCAAAGTCCCCTGGTAAACTTGCTATGGTTTACATTTTTCAATATTTGTACTATTGGGGGAAGTTTAGTATACTTAATCTAAAAACCTAGTCACGGACTGCAAAGATCCATTGTGTTTGCTCACAAAATAAATAGATTTAAATGCATTTCAGTATGATAAAAGATATCTGCCTTGTGAACTTTAAGAAAATGGGCAGTAAGAAACATTAGCTTTGGATATACATTATTTATTAAATACCGTTCAAAGGTTATGTCTTCAAAAAAAGAAATCTATGTACTACACGTTTCTGGATGTGATGTTGTATGCTTAATCACACATTTTGTAAGTACTGCATTTTTTATTCTGTTACAAAGAGAGGATCTTCTGGGATTCAAAGCCATTCAACTCCCCACCAGCAGTGAATGTCTATAGCTAGGAAAGGCTAGAGGGAACTCTATTTGGCTGTGTTCTCAGAAGTACAAAGCATGTCTATCAACTTCAGAATCAAGATTTGTTACTGGAGGATCTTCCCTGTAAGTCCCCTCTCCCCAGTTACTGTTTTTGATTAACTATTCATTAGCAACATAACTTACTATTATACATAATTGAAAAACTTTTTATAAAGTGTGTCTCTGCTTCATTCAAATAGCATGTTGCTTTCATCCTTAAAATACATGATGTTTCCATAGGTTATTTTAGTCATCTAAGCCTGTGCCTATGTTAACACAGAAGTTAAAAACACTGTTAGAGTATCACTGCTGAAATGCTGTTATGTACTATTACCTCACCTTCTTCTTAATGCTTTCTGTTACCACTTTGCTAGCTGTCATTAATTCTTCAGCTCAACCAGCAGAAGAAATTCTAAGAGCATTCCTCTTCTGCTTCTATACAAACACATAGATAAACCAACTGCTTAATGAGTGTACATCACCAAAGATCTTGTCTTTCCTTCTCTTAATCAAAAAAAACCACCACAGTTGTACCCATCTGAACACCTGCTGAAGTTTGGTGCAACTTATTTATCTATTGCAGCTATTCTTGGTGTATGCATTTGCACATAGCTTACCATGGTTGCTTTTATATGCTGAAAATAATGGAAATACATTTGTGTATTTCAAAACTAGAATAGACCACACTTATCTAGTCTGAGCAGCCCAGAGTATAAATCATGTTAAGCCCATGCCCTGTGTTCCAACTAGAACCTATTTTTCAGAAGAACATACAGTCGAGATGCAAAGAGTTTGGGTAACAAACAATGTATTATGGGAAGAGTTTAGTATGATAAATCACTGTAGCCATTAAAACCTCCTATTTTTTTGTTTGAATTTGTTGAGCATCACCTTCACATCACAAGATCCTGTTGCACTCTTCTGTACTACAGAGCCTCCACCTTGCAATATGTTATTCACTGAACAAAGTAAACTTTTCACATTACATTTTGCAGACAAAAAGCAGAGGGAAGAACCTTTTAGCTGCTGCCCATAAAATTTGTTTCTCCAGTTGTGACTTTTCAAAAAGAATTTTGGAAAATATGTCAAGGATTTTGAAGGGACAGGAACTATAACTGGACACAATTCTCCACAATACTCAAGTGACTTTTTCACTATTTATATTCATAAAAACTTCATTAATCCTTTCGGAAACAGCAGCTCACAAGTGACAGTTCCACACTCAGCTGGTAGTTTAGCTTACCTGCAAATGCGACAGTTGCAACACCAAGTCCAACTGCTATCATAGTTCTGGCCTAAAGCAGAAAAACAGCAATCAGAATAACATGCACCTTTTACTTTAACAGTGCATATTTCTAATGTCTGATATGGACATTTAATATATAATTTACAGGAAAGATAAAAGTAAGTTTTGTATCCCACAAACTACATTAGATTTTATAGTTCAGTCCCATTAACCCATGCCAAATAATCATTACCAAATCAGTGAACAAACACCGACGAAGCACCTCACAGTATGTAATGATAAAAACAACGGCTGACAACTATTTGGGATTACTTGAAATTATTTGTGCAGACTAGTTCAACACAGTGCATAACAGAAAGTATCAGTTTATTACAAAAACATAAAGAGCTAAAAAAATAATATTGTTTTGCAAAGTCCTTCACTAGGAATCTCATCATGACATTGATTGAAAATGGTATTGGAATAGTAACTTAAAAGCTACAGCCACAAATGTACGTTAGTGTCCTCCATCTTTCACGCTCTGACTCATGGAAGCCCCAATAAAGATATGAGGCCCAGTAACCTGTTTTCACTACTTAGTGTATAGTACAAATATTTGTAAATAGGCTGACTTCTGACCGATTTCAGACAGTGTTCATTATCAGCTAAAATTCACTTTAAGTTTAACTGGGCTCTTGGAACCAAACCCACAAGAAACCTGAACATCTGATTTAAACAACAGTAACTCCTAGCTTTTACTAACTCAAAAGCCCCAGATTAGGAGTATGTGTTTTCCTACACAGTCCTTGAAGAAAGTCAGGCATCTCAAGAAGGACAAGAAGTACCTCCATGTTGAACAAGAAGCTGCTTAGCAGATAGGTAATAAACCTTAAGAAAGGATTGACTTCTCACACATTTGCAGAATTCAAGAAGAGCAATGAGCATTGCAAGTCTTGGGGGCATCTCTCCATCTGAAAAGCCTACATGCAATCTTTCAAATGAAATAAAGTCATCTGTGCACTATCTGTCTTATCACATGATAGTTCAATAATGCCTTGAACTTTCCCCAGGAAACATGAGAAATCAGATTAGGCCTGTTTTGCTTGAATTCAAAACGTATCAACAGTAAAAATGTTTTTATCACCTGATTGTCTCTTCTCTATATGATTTACTTCTGCATTTATCCAATAACTCATTTATACATTTTCTACCAACAAGCCTGACAGCAGGATTTAAAGCCTAAATTTCAATGTGAGTCCACTAATAACTGTATTTGGAGCCAGTTGCCTTTGCTACTAAGATTCCTGGGTACAAACAAGGAGGATTTTTAGCCCCAATCTCATTTCTAGACAGAGAGGCAGCAGGGGAACAGTTGGGAAACAGCAGTTTTAAACCCTTCTAGAGCTGGCTTAGTAGGGGCTAGAACACAGGCTGACAACTTTCCCAGAAAACGGGCAGCTGTACAAGATGTAGGCACTGCCATCAGACCCAAGGCTCCTACGATTTCGGCTCTGAAGCAAGTGGCTGTGATTGCTGCTTGTAATATTGAGTTCAGTATGGAAAAAGTGGTAGCCTGCCCTGAGCTCATCTAGAAGCAGCTGTATTCCTCTATACCTAGCTTCTGGATCCTATGCATTTTAACTAAGTACCTATCTCCCGCCTACCTGGACAAGGCTATTCTAGCTATGTGCATAACATAATACTGCAATTGCCCAGAGGTTTCTAGTAGGAAAAAAAAAACACACAAAAGAGACTCACTAAACATACTGAAAGTGGAGCTCCAAAGACAAGACTGGGAGGATTTTTTTGCATTAAAAATCTGCCTATCCCATTTTAGTAACCTAATTCTTCCATTTCAGTGTAGTCTTCGGTCTCAATATTAGCATTCATATCTGAAAGTAAAAATAACGTAGTAGTTTTATGTCTGTTTTTCTTTTCAGTTCCACAAAATTTCCCCTCATTTTTAGACCATGAAAAAAATGTAAGTATGCTACCTTAAATGGTAGCAGATATAAAATAGCAAAGCATACAGTTCATCTCCTCACTAAACTAAAACTCTTTTCATTTCTTCTCACAAATCGGTTTTCCCAGCCTCTCAATATTCAAACCTTCCAAAAATACCCTCTAATTCCTCTGTTTAGACACTAACCAGAGACAGCCACATTTCTGAAAACATTGTAACCCCACAGAAAGTCTATATTATTCTGTTCTGTGTTTTGTGACCACGGATTTATAATCAAGACACTTTCCTTGACTTGTTCAGAGTGACAGCGAGAATCTTCTACTAAATGGTTACAGTCAATTAAAAGCTCAACAATGTGTGAAATAGATCACACTGGGAAAAAAAAAAATAAATTTATTAGCTTGTGCTTCTCCGAATGAAGTTATACTTGCTTTGCCACCAAAAAGGTGGTTTATATTTGCAGTTTGCAACAAGGCATTAGCAGCAGACACCTCATCACAGGTAAGGCCAAGCACAGAGACCAGGCTAATAAATAACACCTGGACTCTGTTAGTTCAGTGCAGAAATAGCTTAAAGTGTTTTTGCACAGTAGTCTGGGAACACGATGTGGAGACCCCTGAGGGCTTTTGATAGAGTCAGCCATGTCCACTGGGACGCATTATTTCAATCTCAGTGGTAGGCACTAGCAGTTAGCAGAAAGCTAGCGCTGCCTGGAAAACAGCAGGTGAAAAAAGTATGGCAGCAGCTCTAGAATAGGAGCAGTACGCAGGATCAACAGGAATACGACAAGCCAGAAAACTAGGTAAAAGCGATGGAAAGGTCAAGCCAGAGAGGCATGAAAGATCGTCCACGTTCTGAAGTGAGGTACAACCACCAGAAAAGATGAGAAATATTGGTTTATGGTTACTCACCTTATTTGCATTATGAGCAGGTTAGAGAAGAATCACTTCCTACATAGTACTAAAGAAGTGGTAGCTTGTCATATCAAAGCACCTTGAATGTTTATTACGGTGTGAATATATCCTAACTATACACATACAATAAAAATTGGATTTTAATGAATACTAGAAAGATCGCATGATTTGTCTTTTACTGACACAGCCTCTCTCATAAAATTAGCAGCAACTTCAAGTACTAACCAGTAAGTCTTCTTAAGCCCAGCTTGACTCAGTTTCCTTTTCCATGCTCACTTAACTCAGTTGGCTATTTAGAAGAACAGGTCAAAGTAAGTCTGGTGCTTTGGAATGTACAGCATAAAGTGCAAAGCTTGAATTAAATGCACTCCTTTCATGTCAATATTAAATAAAAGTAACTCGTTATCACTGTGGAAGGGATCAGTTAATTTAGAGCATGCTAATATGACTACCACCACAACCATTTCTGGCTCCCACTGCTTGAAAATGTATTTTATTTCAGACTCATAAAGGCTAAAAAAAACAACCAAAACTTACTGACTTCCAGTTATGACAGAATTGACCTTCCCCCACCTCCAAAAAAAGACATTAAGAAATTTCTAAAATGTAAGTTTTAAATGAAAGCATTCTTCTAAGATCCAAGAGGAAAAAATAAAGAAATAAAAGATTAAAAAGTAACATCTGTCCTTTTCTTTATTCAATGAATCAGCTCACATAGGTTAGTCATCAACCCTATGCTATTCTGCTGATCTCAGTATCTTGATTTTACTATGTAGTTCAGTTTGCAGTAATAAACTCTCTTACACAGCAAACAATAAAACAAAGTTTTGCTAAATCTGCAAAACCTGATTTTTTTTTTAATTATTTTCAGAAACATGTATAAGAAAACACACACATTAGAAGGGCAACGGCAAGACCTGACTTACCAAAGTGTTTGGTAAACAAAAGAGGATAAAGCTTATTAATTAGCATACATTATGTTTGGAGGTATACAGCATATACTGTTAGCATACACAGATCTGTGGCCTAATCCTTTAATACATAGTTTTCCAGTAGCCTTAATTTTTTAGCAGAAGAAACCGGAAAGAGTAAGATATTCTTTCTTCAAATTTCTAATCCACAGTCTCTGCTAACTTAGCCATACTAAAAACCAAAATATAACAACTTCTATAATTCCTAGCATTGCAGCTTCTCCTTCTATGAGGTATAAGAAAGTTAAACTTATAAAAAGAATTTCAAATGCATAATTTTAAAATTTCAGTGCAACACTATTACATCTGACCAGAGGCTACAAGAACCACCTTTACCAATATTAAAACATTCCCGCTTGCATAGGATTTATACACCGGTTCTTTTAACACAATCAGTGAAAACACCCTTCTTGGTCAAATGGAAGGTATTTTGCTCTTCTCACAACTAGTTTTCAGACACACAGCAAGAGCTCTACTGTCTTTTGCCTCAGACAGCTATAGTGAAATGGAATAAAAAACACAGAGAAAATAATCATTTGTTCTGATGGGTTGAACAGCATTTTGTTATTAGTCCATGCTTAACCATGGATCATTAAAATAGCAAGTATATACTTACATTGAAATAAGTACACAAGTGTAAGGTGCTTGCTTAACTAAAAACTTTGAAGAAGATTCTGTTTGTCGTTTAAGTGCTGTATGCCACTAAGAAGTAGGATACATGAGTATATTAACAAAGTGCACAAAAATATTTCTGAAGCTACTTTTTCCCTTAAATAAAAATTCTTGACCTGAAATAAATGATTGTTTGATATGAAAGCTAGACTAAGGCTTCTATTCCTCAGAAGGGTAGTTCCTACAGCATATTGGAGAACTGTTTCAGAGCAAACCAGCTAATTAACTCTATGTGGAGCCAGATATATTTGAAGTAGGATTATATTATGAACTATCTGCAATAGATTTGATTTCATAACCTAATGTTTGCCTTCCAGTCTTACCTTCCTGTGAAATTTGATTTATTTTCCAATAGTGAATAAAAAGTATTTTCATCTAGATGCTGTTCTCCATACTCACCCAACTCTCATGTCAATTTGTATTATCTATTTTACAGCAACTTTTTTGGTTTGTATATAAAACTATGCCTAAAGTTTCTGACAGTTTTTCATAGAATATGGTACCTCAGCAACAGATGCATTAATAGAAGCGTTACCATAAGGTG